AAAAATATTCTTTATTGAATAAGTCTAGTTGAATAAAAAACTCTAAAATAAATAAAAATATTCTTAATTGAATAAGTCTAGTTTAATAAAAACTCTAAAATATATAAAAAAAATTCTTAATTGTAGAAGAATAAAAATTAAATAAAGAAGGCTAAATTTAATTAAAAATCAAAAATGAATAAAAAATATTCTTAATTTATTGAACAAGCATATAATATAAATAAAAAAGACTAAATTGAATAAAAAGCCAAAATAATAAAAAATCTAAAATTGATAAAAAATATTCTTAACTGTAAAAGAATTAAAGTTTCACTAAATGTCTGTGAAGTTTAGTTTATTTTAGTTCATTATTTTTTTATTTATTAAATATAAATATTGTTCTTATAAATATTAAAATATATAGAAAATAACAAAAATGTTAATTTCTATTGAATGAACACTGACTCAACCTATAGTATTATATTTTGGATAATTATTTTATCAATGGTATAATTTGTTATCTTCATTAAAATAAGTGACTAATTCAAGTTCATTCTCACATTGACGTTTATTTACGATCTGTGAAGAAAATATATACTAAAATGTCTTAACGATGTGAATGGTATACTTTACAGTGTAACCTTACCTACTTATTGTTTATCTGTAGTTTTGTTTTTTTTCTATTTAATATAAAAAGACTTACACAGGTAACTTCATATCTTGGTAGTAGTGAATTATTATTCTAATTTTAAAATACATTAAAAAAACACTAGTTTCTTATAACTATCGTTTTTGAAAACAAGTATGCAAATTTGTACAACTCGTGTACTAAATTATGGGACAAAAAAAACACATTATTGCCATTAGTTATTTTTTGTGGGGTAGCTGGAGTAATGCCCAAATGTTAGGAACGACATTTGTACTTGGACGGGAGGTCATACAAATTCGGAAATGGTCATACAAATTCGTACTTCTCGCATACTAAATTATGGGACCGACAAAAACACAGTTATGAAACTGATTCTTGTGGGGGGATGCTGGGGAAAAGTTTTCGCAAAAATCCTTGCCCTCCTGAAATTTTTTTATCATTTCTCTCACCGAAAATTCAACATTTTTATCAACTTTATCAGTAGCTAGAAATTGAGTTGTTGATATTTTTAAACATTCACTACTGAACCATCCTTTGCAGTTTATGCAATCCTTTTTTCTCTTGTTTCATTATCACATAAATTATGTTTGGAGGATCTGTAGGTCCCCTATCAACTTTCGGTACTACGAATAAAACGCATTGATTAATTTCAAAATCGTCAGTTATTTTCTTGTTTCCCTGTTAAAAATAAATTTAAATTAAGATCTAAAAAGTAATATTAGGTACATTTTAACAGTATACGTTATTTTGGCAGAAGACGTTGGACGTGCTGCACGTTGTTACGTGCTGCCCCTCCAGGGATTCAGAAAGATGATGCTTTGTAATAAAAGAGGTGACAGTTTTAGAACAATAATGTGAAATGCAGTTTTATTATAATATAAATGTGTATAATCTCGTATTAACGGTGCATAAGCTCATCGTAGTAGTATAAAATGGCTGGTGGCATGAAGTGGCTCAGGTCTTGGTGGCTCTGGTACATCTGATCGTGCTGTTCTCTTGACCTATATATATATGATGTCGGCTCCTTTGTGTTGGTTGGCGAGTGGACCCAGGTGTCCTTGGGGTGGTTGTAATAGTTTCCCCCAGCAGAGAGTTGTTAATTGTTATTGCCGCTGTTTTTGGGCGACGCTGCATTGACGAGACCACATTTCATGGAGAGTGGTTTCTGCCTAAGGTTAATTATGCACTTATATGTGAAATGATTATCTACTCGTGTAGTGAATGCGTAATCCTTATAACGTGGGTGGTATTCATTCAGTAATATACGCACTACTACCAAATAAAAAAAGTTAAACTTATCTCAAATTATTTACGATGTCAATCAATGTAAGTCCTGGATTATTAAAACATTCTATTTCCATTGATTTTGAAATGGCTGCTATTCATGCAATCAAAGAAGTGTTTCCTCAAGTTAACTCAAGTATACATGGATGTTATTATTTTGTCAACGTGAGGCCATTCTGGGTGCGGGTCAATCGAAAACGCAACATAAGCGAGGTCACTTAGATTGAGCTCGTCGAGGACCGACCACCCAGAGACCTTCATTCCTCTTGAAAAGGTGACGCCCATGATAGAGGTGGATTCCCCCTAACAAAGGTTGGGGTATCACCGACGTTGGCGAGTATGAGGCCAATGCTCACCGCCAGGTCTGAGAGAAGTTCACCTCTCGGGTTGTCTGCCCGGGAGCCCCATTCCATGTTCCACGCGTTGAAATCATCCGCCATAATTAGTCTGGTGTCTCCCCTGGTGTGGATGACCTATTCTAGGTCCCAGAGGAAGATTTCATATTAGGCCAGGGTAGTGCTCGGTCTCCAGGAGCAGCTGAATACGACGAGGTTTAATCCACGCGAAGCCATTTCCGGACCCAGAGTCGTCGTGGACAAATCCGGTTCCAGAGGTAGTGCCTACGGAGGCTTTTAGGTCAAGGCTCTGACACATCCTTCCCCTGACTTGTTCCCTTGCGTATGGTTCGCTCATAATGAGGACGTCGACGTTTTTCTGAACAGTCGTCTGGTCTAGGAGCTGTTGAGCAGGCCCAGCACCCGTTCAGATTAACTTGTGATCCACATGGAGGTGACCTTGATTTCATTGACTGAAGCCTGAACTAGCGTGTTACCAGTGCTAGATGCCAGGAACGCGCTTTTTAGTGCTGCAAGGACGCCCTCCACGGTGGAAGTGGGCTCGAGGTGACCTCCATGTCTACTAGGACGCCGGATGCTGCCACAGAGACTATGGCACTGGCTATCTTTTCAGTAAGAGGTTTCTTCAACGGGGCTGCTGCCTCTCTGGACTTTCGGCTTTTGACCAGATCCACGACGACTACTTGAAAAGTATGCTATGTAACAGTCGATGTAATATGCAATCGTGATAAATAAAATAAAAATATTTGTAATGTAATATGATGTAATTATTATATTTTTTCTCATAAAACAATACCGTGTGTTCAATTTTAAAGGTAACAGGAAATATTTCGATCGTATGACCTTGAATTTGATTCGGGGTTTTTAGACTGCATATAGGACTTATAAATACATATTTTTTTAATAAATTCAAATTTTTATTTTTTTTTATCAGCGCTAGCGCAGTAAAATAAAAATTTCTTAAATAGCAACCACTATTTTGGAGACCGGATTTTGATTTCTTTATTTTTTTGAACAACTGATCTTTACAGTTTGTTGATATCTTCAAAATTGCCATGTTTATGACGGTCGGAAGTTTTAAAATAGTTAATTATCGTAAATAATTGTGTGGTGGATGATATCTCTCGGGATATCGTTCAGCATAAAGTGCCGCTGCGTTACGCGAATTTTGATGACATTCTCCAAAAATTAATACCATATCGGTTTTTTCAGAATAGTTTGCCTTTGTACAGAAAATAATGTGTCACGCGAGACTTACGAAAAACGTTTGACTATTCACAATCAATTTTAGAATGCTATCAAAATATCTTATTCACACAAGTTAATAGTATAACTTTCATTATAATACTATTATAAACAAATTAAGATAATAGTAGAAGATAATTTAGTAGTTTTAATAAAAATAAATTGTTATAATAATACCTATAAATACCTATAAATTAAGATAGACCGTTGAAAAATGCAATATTTACAAATTAACTATTTTAATACTTCCGACCGTCATAAACATGGCAATTTTGAAGATATCAACAAACTGTAAAGATCAAAGTTGTTCAGAAAAAATAAAGAAATCGAAATCAAGTCTCCAAAATAGTGGTTGCTATTTAAGAAATTAAATAAATTAAAAATTTGAATTCATTAAAAAAATATGTATTTATAAGTCCTATATGCAGTATAAAAACCCCGATTCAAATTCAATGTCACACGATCGAAATATTTCCTGTTACCTTTAAAATTAAACACACGCAGGGCCGGCGGAAGGCACAGGCAACACAGGCCTATGCCTGGGGCGGCATTATGGAAGAGGCGGCATTTCCTTGATAGTAGGAAGGACCGTATTTAGAATAACATAAATATGTTGCTACTTAGGCTAACGCAAAAACCAAAAACCGTTTTTAAAATACCAATGATTTAATTAATATAAATTAAATAAATTAATTTTTGGTTGGGACGGTTTATTTAAAAGTACAAATGTATAATACACCGAAATAAAATGTAGATAACGTATAACATTAATTGATTTTTCCCCGAAATGACGACGTCGCGGTGGTCGAACGTCGATAACAATAACATACTACTAATAATAATTATTCTGTGACAATAATATACGATACCTATTATTATTATTTGTTATATTGTTTATTTTTGGCGTGGTGACACGCCGACACGCCGGGCTATTTGCTGATAATACGATAATCGCTTCTATTTGTTCTATGATAAATTGATAATACTAATTACTAGCGTCTAGCACATCTCAATGCGTCTCAATAATATTATTTGCTTTTCACTCGTCGCTTTGTCGTGACCTCCTGCAATATTTTTACTGAAAACGGTGGCTGAAAACTTACAGGTATCGTACCCATATTTAGCATATTATATCATTTGTATGTATATTTGTGTATAATTGTTATAATAGGTATAATATGTTGTTAGCGTGAATATTATTTAAGTTATTCGATCATTACTCGATGTTTGTATTATTGCATACAATATTATTATACCTTAATGACTTAATCTATATCAAAAATTAAAATAGGTCTATATTAGTCTGAAAAAATGGTACATTTGATATTCCGTTAATTAGTATTGTATTAATAATTTATTCAATTCATTAATAAAATAAAATAATAATTAATCAACAATTTAAACATAATAGCATTTGTTAAATTACTTTTCTTTACTGATATACAGTTTTTTCTTAGAATATCGAAAAAAGAAAGTTGAAATCTGAAATGTCGTACAGCGCTAAACGCACTCGGTTGTCAGGAGCAGAATACCAGAAAAAACGTATAGCACGTGAATTAGAAATATCTAAACAAAAAGATCGCATTTTAAATTTTTTTCAACCAGTACCAACTAGTAACTCCCAAAATAAAAATAATAATATTTCTTCAGATAACACAGAAATTGAAAGTGACAATACTGGTGTGTGTGATAATGTGCAGGCTCTTGTGGAAAAAGAAACGCATGTTTCAGAATCTAACTTAGAAAATGATGGTAATTTAACTTTAAAAGCTAAAACTTCCCCAGAAGATTATTGTGAAAGTATTGAATGCCATGAAGATTTGTTGATTGAGGGTAATGAAGCGAATAACATAACACTTTCCATTGTAAAAGATGAAACGTTACACAATAATTCCAATTGTGAAATGGTTGAACAAAATGATCAAGATTTTAGTCTAGTAGAAGATACACCTGCAGATTCGTTTGACCTTGAATTATTAAAAGATCCAAAGATGTGGCCAGTTATTTGTGATAAAATACGGATGTTTTTAGTTCAAAAGGGCCCTTATCAAACACATTCGAAATCGTACCCAAAAGATGATACAGGTCGAAGATTTACAATCAATCATTTTTTTAGAAAATTAAGTAATGGAATGGAGGTAAAACGATCATGGTTAGTATATTCCGGTACGGGTGATTCTGTATTTTGTTATTGCTGTAAATTATTTAATGAGACAAAATCGTCTTTAGGCAAAGAGGGATATCATGATTGGAAGAACATTGCTGAAACGTTAAAACAACATGAACGGTCTCCGCATCATGAAACATCTTTTCTTAAGTGGAAAGAACTAGAAATAAGAATAAATAATTCAAAAACCATAGGCAATATAAATGAAAAAATAATAAAAACGGAAATTCAACATTGGAGACAAGTTATAGAAAGAATAATATCATTAATAAGAGTACTTGGAAATCAAAACTTAGCTCTACGGGGAACTCACGATAAACTCAATTTAGAAAATAATGGAAATTTTTTAAAATTCATTGAGTTTTTAGGTAAATTTGACCCAGTTATGAAGGAACATATAAGAAGAATAACCTCCGATGAAATACACACTCATTATCTTGGAAAAGAGATACAAAATGAGATAATTAATTTATTAGCGAAAAAAATTAGACTTCATATATTAAATTGTCTGAAAAAAGCAAAATACTATTCAATTGTTCTCGATTGTACGCCAGATATTAGCAATAAAGAACAAATGACTATGATTTTCAGATTTGTCACGATTTCAGAAGATACTGGTGAAGTCACTATAAATGAACACTTCGTAGATTTTATTCAACTATATGATACATCTGGATTTAATATGACAAAAGTCCTATTGGATAAATTAAGAGAATTTGAAGTTAAACTTGAGGATATGAGAGGTCAAGGCTATGACAACGGAGCGAATATGCGTGGAAAACATAGTGGTGTTCAAGCAAGAATTCTTGAACTAAATTCTAGAGCTTTTTATGTACCATGCAATGCGCATACTTTAAATTTAGTTTTAAATGATTCTGCTAATTGTTGCCTTGAAGCTGTCTCGTTCTTTAGTTTAATTCAAGCAATTTACAATTTTTTTTCTTCATCAACTCACCGTTGGGATATATTGATTAAATATTTACCCGGTTTAACTGTAAAACCACTAAGTGCTACTCGGTGGGAAAGTAGAGTGGATGCAGTTAAAGCTATTAGATTCCAATTAAATGAAATATGTGATGCATTGTCAGATATTGTAGAAGATAACACTTTAACTAATGCATCTGGTGTTAAAAGTCGTTCTGAAGCCCAAGGAATTTTAAAAAAAATATCCGACTTTAAATTTGTGATGTGTTTAGTAATATGGTATGATATTTTATATGAAATTAATATTTCGAGCAAACTTCTCCAATCACCCTCGCTTGATCTATCAGAAGCTACTAACCAATTAAACATCACAAAAAAGTTCTTGGAAGATTATCGTTCTGAAGAAGGTTTTAAAAAAACATTAAAAACTGCAAAAGAAGTTGCTAAAAAAGTTGGAATTGATGACAAATTTGATAGTTTACAAAGATCGAGACGTAAGGCGATTCTTTTTAATTATGAATCTCAGGATAACCCTATAAATGATCCAGAAATTCACTTCAAAGTTAATTTTTTTTATCAAGTTTTGGATACAGGTATTCAGTCAATAATTGAAAGATTTGATAAGCTATCTGAGCATAACAGTTTATTTTCGTTCTTATATAACATATCAATAATTGAAGATGAAAATGAGTTGTTAAAACACTGCAAGGATCTACAACTTTCTCTCACTTCTAACGACGGTTTAAACACAGATATTAGTGCTGTAGAATTACATCAAGAAATTATCGCATTTAAAAGATGTTCAAGGACTGAAAAAAGTGATCCACGCAAGGTTTTGGAATACATATGTAAAAGGAAAATGGTGGAGCTTTTTCCTAACCTGGTCACAGCACTTAAGATCTTACTGACATTACCTATAACTGCAGCTAGTGCCGAAAGATCATTTTCAAAACTGAAAATTATTAAAAACTATTTGCGGTCCCAAATATGTCAAATGCGTTTAGTTGGTCTGGCAGTTCTTTCAATTGAAAAGGATGTATCAAACAAATTGGACATGGAAGAAATAATAGAAGAGTTTGCAACATTAAAAGCCAGAAAAATAAAATTTATATAAATATTAAAAATGTTGGATTCTTTATTATACCACTTTAAATTTTTTTTAAGTTTAATGTATTTCAATTTCAACAAAAATGTGTACTATTTATATTTATATAGTTGAATAAAAATATTTTTTTGTGAATTATAAATTATGACTATAACGTATAGGTATACTGTGACTTAAGCCCGAAGTAGACGTAAATATGTTTGAGGATATGGGGAGGGGCAAGGGGTAATAATAGAGGGATAATAATAATAATAGAGAGATCAAAAATGAAAGGGCGGCAAATTTTGATTTTGCCTATGTATACATCTTGTCTAGAGCCGGCCCTGAACACACGGTATAGAAAAGTATAAGTTATAATACTATGACATAAAATAATTATTTATTTCTAAATAACATAACAATTTTGCTTTACAACAATGATATCTGGATATCCAGTTCATGAAATGAGTAATTTCACTATGTGGATGCGACATATATGTTATATATACCTACGAAATTCAAGTGTGAGTCTCTTAGATCAAACTATTACACTACCTATAATATTTTAGAAGCTTATAAATTAAAAGATTTGATGTTTAAATGTCACGAGTACAACTCACACCAGAGGTCAAAGAAATGTTACCGTATATCAAAATTAAAATTACAAATTGTATAAGGTATTAAGGTAAAGTGTACGAACAATTACATACTATATATACAATATAATCTATTGAAAATTAAACCACGTCTATAATTAAATACTGAAACAAAAAATTGTTTATATGGTCACTATAGGATTATCATAAATACTGTAAAAAGTTTTCCTCGAACTAAAAAATGTATATAATCGCCATCTGTGTTAAATCACTTCCATGATTTCCATATATTTATTACTAGCTGATCCCTTGCACTTCCTTACACGTTAAATGTACCAAATCTATATGACTACTAACCTAACCTATCCGTACTAATATCAGATAAATTAGCCTGTCTTCTTCCTAGAGGTCTAATCTAAACACAAACATTCACCTATTCATATATATATATATATAATATATATATATTGACAAAAAACAATAATACAAATCAACAAACATGCCTGATTAACCAATAGCAACCAATATAAATTATAATACACTATTGCGCCACTGTTGTATTTTGTACATCCAGATATAATATTATTCCGGTGGGTTTTCATAAAATTTTCTTTCGTATAAACCTTTGCTCGAAATTACAAACATCTTAAAAAAATTTGAGCCAAATCGGACCAGCAGTTCTCGAGTTTTAGAGAGACAAACGAACAGCAATTAATTTTTATCTATTATATAGAAGATAATTTTATATACAGGGTGATTGACCTAGCATACTCATCCCCTTTTTTCTTCAATAATGGAGTTATTCGAAATCTGATTTTAAATGTACTTGAAGACCATATTTTCAAATTCTTTAGATTTTTTTGTATTACTTAAGGAGTGTCTTACGGATATATTAACTTCTGTTTTTAAAATGAGTAAACCACATTATTGATTACAATCAAGCAACGTAAAATACATAGATTTTTGTGTGACACAGTATATTTAAAAAAAAAACGCCCATATTATATAAATTTGGATAAATGAGGAAATACATTTAAATATAGTAATAATAATAGTAGTATAGTAATATTTATTAAACAATATAAAAGAAATGAGAAAAATTGTGTTACAAATTAATTATATAGGCAGATATAGTAGTGCGGATGGAAAATTCATGCAGTTTATTATAATCTATGGTTTGTGTCTTTTAGAACATAAGAGCATATTTTCTTAGAAAATAAATTATAATTATTAGGTTCAAAAAAGAAAAAAATATGTTTTATTAACCCAATCTTACATATATTTTTCTTATGGAGCATAAAATTGCACAAAATAACTTCTGTTTTCATCAATTTTAGCTTCACAGAAGGCAGTAACTGGATTAACTTCTGCAAAATAAATTGGTTTTTTTGATTTTAGATTTTTTGAATGTATGAATGTGTTGCCCTACCACAATTTTGTAGAACTCGATTGCATACGTAGCTTTTTGATGTATGAACAGCAACTTTTACCACAAACCCGGTCAACATTTCATTCATCTCAAATTGATAGTAATTAATTTTTACAACAAAAATATTTGAATTTCCAATTGTATCATTAACTAAAAAAAAATGTTAAAATGTCCCAATCTTGTTAAATCTTACCAATAATTTTTACTAAGTCCAAAAAGTCTTATCAAAAAGAATGAAAACCCCAAAAAATACGAAAATATATTATGATGTCTATGTCTAGCACGCCATGACAACTCGGACTCGTGAATTAATAATATCCTTATATCCACTGGATTATCCTGTAATTCTTGTTACACAATTTACTTGATCTGAGAAAACTATGAGGTTATTCTCACAGCTTAGCCCATATTTACTAGATGTCTGTCTTAGTCAGTCACTAACTCAATATTTTTTTTTTGTATTTAATTATAATGTATTCAATATAATAAAAACCATTTTATTGTATCAGCATTCAAACACCATAATATTTTTACTTTAGTCTCATTCATGCTGTGTGTGATATTTATTATATAGACACTATATTATTACAGTTATAACTATAGTATAGGTACTATTAGTTATTACAGTACTTACCTATTTATAATGAATTTTAATTTTTAATAAATACTGAATATACTTACCATCCAAATATTCCATGTATTTAGTTGATATTTCTGAAAAATAAACTACACTGTGACAATTTTCAACATAATTTTGACAATTCAAGTCAAGACAATTAATATCATAGTATAGGTGTGTCAGTAACTCTTTAAGTTGATTTATATTCAATAGATTCAACCAATTATTCATCAGGTGAAACAATGACTTTTTAAATATATTTATTTTATATATTAAACATTTGTGAATCTCCGAGATTATATTTTGAAACCTGCAGGGATTATAAAACTTATGTATAAATACAATATTAATTAATGAAAAAATAAATAAATGTTTCTATTTTTCATTAAACAAATAAACATTTTTTTTTCTAACGTTGTTAAATGACATTTAACTTTTTAATCGAATTGAGTAGTGTTAATTGATCTTGAACTATCCATAATTTAAGGTGTTTCTTAAGAGGACGTGATACCCGCATATGTGTTGTGTCCGTCTTACAAGTGCATAACATGGCAAATTTTACGATCAGCAAAACACGTGTAGCTACTTTAATTTAAAAATTTAAGTAAATTGACCTCTAATAAAATCTAAAGGTAAGATTATTATCTAGGCAACCTCATTTTATTTTTATTATATTTTAATTTTCAAGCGAGTTATTAATACTTAAAGATGTACAAACAATGTACAGTTTTAAAATACTCATATTTCGTTTTAAAACTAAAATATAATAATAAACCCATGAGGTTGCCTAGATAATAATCTTACCTTTAGATTTTATAAGAGGTCAATTCACTCTAATTTTTAAACTAACGGAGCTACACGTGTTCTGCTGAGCGTAGCATTAAGTATGTTACGGACTTGTAAGACGGAGATAACACATACGGGTATCACGTCCTCTTAATTGCGGACAAAGTAGTAAAAATCACGTGAGTTGGGGACGAATCCTAAAAAGGTGACATACGAATCGCGGACACAAATAATATAACATACTACCTGTGGAAAAATGTCCAATTATTATTGTTGATACTATAAAGACTGTGTTACATATCGATGAGTAATGTACATAATCTGATTGACTTTGTTGGACCTATTATTTATCAGCATTAAGATTGTGAGTTAAGCTTTTTAATTTTAAAGCCAAAGTATTGTCGAAAGGAGGCATTCGTCCACAACTAAATGATATATACAAGTGGTGTAATTCATATAGAGTAACATTTATACAAGCTTTACGAACAAAAAATTTCCAAGAAAACTATGATGACAATATATTTATAGAAAAACATTTACAATACATGATGATGACAATGTATATTTTATAACAGTAACTGATTTTATTTAAGAATAATTTAGATAGCTCAAAATAATTTTAATTAATAATTATTGTACCTACCCATATAATAATTACTAACTGAATTACCAGGTTTAAGTATAAAAATGTATGCAAAATGGCAATATGGCAAGATTAAATATTGTTTATTCTATTTAAATAATATTGAATTGACATTGTTAAAATAATTTAGAAATATTTAAAAATATTTTATACATATTAGTTATTAAGTCAATTTTATTATTACCATAACCTATTCTATTAGTAATAGCTTTTGACAGTAGGTTAGGTTAGAACTTCGTTTGCGATATGTTTTAGCAGTGAAGGTTTAAAATAAATGTTTTACTAATAATTATTCAAAATATTCTCTACAACATTTTTTTGTAGACAATATTCTTTACTGATTTATTACTAGGAGTCAAAATCACCAAGCTACTGGGTGAGCTTACGCGTGAGCAAGCTACGTACAACTGACCCTGTGAAAAACTGTTTTAACGCAAGTCTATTCTCAAATTTTAGAGTCTGGAATTGAGACTTGTTTATGGTCATTGCAAAGCAGACTTTGAGGGGAAACTGCAATCGTTTAAATTCGAAGATCGTTTGGAATTAAGGGAATTCGTGGTACAAATACAGTTTGCTCTTTCGCACATCCAGTTAAAATTGTGGCTTCCGCTATATTGCAGTGATGTAAGGCTTTGACTTTAAGCCTGGTCCCCTTGCACAGTTTAGGTGGTTTAAAATTTCGAAACAACATAATAGGTGTGCCCACCCGGTGGTTTCAACGAATTCAACAGGATAATTAGTTGCATCGTCTATGTTCACCACTGTGCCTATCGAAGTATATACTTTTTCTTAGTATAGCACGTTCACATAACTAATCCATAGGCTTATCATGATTATTAGCAATATCTTGACATATTGTTGATATTAAATCCTGAACCGTACTTACAACTGTGTAAACATTTTCTGTGATGGTTATCATTTCATCAAATGATGGATAATCACCATTGCCAATTTCTA